AAATTTGAACTACTTGTTTTGCAATAGGAACATAATATGAAAGCACATGTATATATTCAAAGTAACATTAACAGACATATTACAACTTCACTAGGAAAATTACAACTTCTATGTATGGATCTGCTATCCACCAGTGTTTCTTATTAAATTGTTACAATAGCTTGTCTGCATCTGCTAGAGCAGCTCATTATAATTTTAACCTAAAGAAGCTAGTCGAACCAACTAGAATCCGTCTAGGTAGTTGGAATGTAGGGTCACTTACAGGTAAGTTAAGAGAATTAGTTGATACCGCGACTAGGAGGCGTGTAAATATATTATGCGTTCAAGAGACTAAATGGAAGGGTCAGAAGGCGAAGGGGGTAGACAATACAGGTTTCAAGCTTTGGTACACAGGGACAGCCACGAATAGAAATGGAGTAGGAGTTTTGATTGATAAGAGCCTCAAGAATGGTGTGGTGGGAGTGAGAAGGCAAGGAGATAGGATTATCTTAGTTAAGCTTGTCATTGGTGATATGGTCTTAACGTAATTAGTGCGTATGCCCCCCAAGTAGGCCTCGACGAGAGTGCTAAGAGACAGTTCTAGAAAGACTTAGATGGCCTGGTTAGAGCTATACCTAGTAGTGAGAAGCTTTTTATAGGAGGAGATCTTAATGGGCTTGTAGGTACTATAAGCGTAGATTTCGAGGCAGTTCATGGAGGTTTTGGGTATGGTAGTAGGAATTAGGAGGGGGAGGAAGTTCTGGACTTCGCGGTAGCTTTTGACCTGATGATAGCCAACACTTTCTTTAGAAAGAGAGAATCTCATCTAGTGACCTTCAGTAGCGGACAACACTGTAGCCAGATTGACTTTGTCCTCGCAAGACAAATGAGCATGCTTGGATTGCAAGGTGATACCAGGGGAGTGTGTTGTTTCTCAACATAAGCTTTTGGTGGTAGATTTTCGTTTTCAGGTGCATGCCCGTAGGGATAAACAAGCTAAGATTGAAAGAACAAAGTGGTGAAAACTGAAAGGGGAGACGTCAGAGGTATTCAGGGAAAGGGTTAATAAAGAGGGCTCTTGGAAGGAAGAAGACGACATAAACAACATGTGGAAGAAGATGGCAACCAACATTCGGAAGGTGGCCTTAGAGATGTGTGGAGTAACCAAAGGAAGTGGAGGCGAGGCTAAAGATACTTGATGGTGGAACGAGGAAGTCCAAAGGGCTATTAAGGAGAAAAAAGAATGCTATAGACGCTTGTACCATGACAGGAGTGTAGACAACATAGAGAAGTACAGGGTGGCAAAGAAGACTGCAAAGCGAGCTGTAAGTGTGGCAAAGGGTAGAGCGTACGAGGATCTTTACCAACATTTGAGTACGAAGGAAGGAGAGAAGGACATTTATAGGATGGCTAGGGTTCGTGAGAGAAAGACACGGGACTTCAACCAAGTTAAGTGCATTAAGGATGAAAGGGAGCATCTCTTGGTGAAGGAGGATGAGATCCGACATCGATGGCAAGAGTATTTTGACAAATTGTTCAATGGTGAGAATATGGACACAACCTTTCAGTTGGATGACTCTTTTGATGACACCAATAGGCGCTTTGTGCGGAGAATCCAATAATCTGAGATCAGAGAGGCGTTGAAAAGGATGAAAGGAGGTAAGGCGATGGGACCAGGTGGTATCCCAATCGAGGTGTGGATATGCCTCGGGGACATAGCTATAGTATGGCTAACTACGTTGTTTAACCATATTTTCGATCGAACAAGATGCCTGATGAGTGGAGGAGAAGTATATTGGTACCGATCTACAAGAATAAAGGGGATATTCAAAGTTGTACTAATTACCGGAGAATTAAGTTTATGAGCCATACTATGAAGCTATAGGAGAGAGTTATCGAGCATCGCTTGAGAGCAATAACGCGGGTCTCTATGAACCAATTTGGTTTCATGCCCGGAAGGTCAACCATGGAAGCCATTTTCTTAATAAGACAGGTTATGGAGCGGTATAGGGAGAAGAAGAATGACCTACACATGGTTTTTATTGACTTGGAGAAGGCTTATGATAAAATACCAAGGAATGTTATGTGGTGGGCTTTGGACAAACATAAAGTCCCAACGAAGTACGTCGGGCTCATTAAGGACATGTACAACAATGTTGTGACTAGAGTTCGAACAAGTGATGGAGACATGGATGACTTCCCGATTAGGATAGGACTACATCAAGGGTCAGCTTTGAGCCCTTATTTGTTTGCTTTAGTGATGGATGAGGTCACAAGGGACATACAAGGGGACATCCCTTGGTGTATGCTTTTCGCGGACGATGTAGTGCTAGTTGATGAAAGCCGGACAGGAGTGAATCAGAAAATGGAGTTATGGCGGGAGACTTTGGAGTCCAAAGGTTTTAGACTCAGTAGAACTAAAACTGAGTATATGAGATGTGACTTCGGCACTACTACTCGGAAGGAGGAAGATGTTAGTTTGGAAGGTCAAGTAGTGCCTAGGAATGATACCTTTCGATATTTAGGATCAATGCTACAGAGGGACGGGGATATTGATGAAGATGTTAGCCATAGAATCAAAGCAGGGTGGATGAAGTGGCGGCAAGCGTCTGGTGTCCTATGTGACAAAAGGGTACCACAAAAGCTAAAAGGCAAGTTTTATAGGACGACGATTAGACCTTCTATGTTGTATGGTGCAGAATGTTAGCCTACGAAAAGACGACATGTTCAACAGCTAAGTGTCACGGAAATGCGTATGTTGCATTGGATTTACGGTCATACAAGAAGGGATCAAGTTTGGAACAATGATATACGTGATAGATTAGGGGTAGCGCCAATTGAAGAAAAGCTTGTCCAACACCAGTTGAGATGGTTTGGACATGTGCAACGGAGACCTCCAGAGGCACCGGTGCGTAGTGGAATTCTAAGCCAGGATAGTAACGTGAAGAGAGGCAGAGGAAAACCGAAGTTGACTTGGGTAGATGCAATAAAAGGAGACTTAAAAGGATAGAATATACCCAAAGACTTAGCCTTAGATAGGAGTGCTTGGAAGACAGTTATTCACGTGCCTGAACCTTGATTGCTTCTGATGGGTTTCAACTCTAGCCTATCCCAACTTGTTTGGGACTTAAAGGCTTTGTTGTTGTTGTTGTTGTTGTGGATGAGTAGCCCAGTATAAAATGAATTGATTGAGAACTATCATGTGTGTCATACTTAGTCCTATACTCTATACTAATATGTCTAAAAATACAAGTTGTCTACTTTTTTCGCACAATGCTATGATGGACTCATAGCAGGACGATATCGACGATGTTGTGCATGATTTTGGAGGTTCTAGTGCTTTCAATATATGCTTGAGTAAAATGATCATTTGGATTAATATTTTCAAGTAAGTAAACAAGCACATAACAATTTAAATCATAAAAACTCAACCAACCAAATTTGTTGATATATATATGTATGTCTAGTTCACAAAAAATACATAAATAGATTTATATTTCCCGTGTCTTTTAATTAGGCATTTGTTTTCGCTATAATTAATAATACATTGTAAGAAAATTAACAATTAAAGTATATAAATAATAATACAATGTAAGATAAATTTACAGCTAAAGTATATTTTAAAAGAATCTCTCAATCTAATGGCTAACGATTAATATAAAGGGGTAGTGATGGTATGAGGGTTTTGATTATTAAGAAATAGGCATCAAATTTTACCTCAACGAGGGTTGAACTGCAGTGAGGGCATCCGTGTCGCGCCGGGCGGCGTGGATATGACAGTACAGCGGTGGTGGTGGTCAGCGTCTTTGGCCTTGCGGGCGGCAGAGGAGAGGCGGTGAGGAGGGAGGACAGGCGGCTCATGGGCAAAGGGGGGAGGAGGCGGCTCATGAGCATTATTTTTTTCTGGTCTCTGGGCGCCGTGCGCTATGGCGCGTCATTGCCGCGCCAAGATCGGTGGCGCGGCAGACCCTGCCACGTCACCGGTCAGCGCCCCGGTCGTCGCCACGTCACCCCTCTCGCCGCGCCACCATGCATGGCGCGGCACAGGCTTTTCGCCAAAAGTGTTAGTTTTGAAAAAAAAAATAGTGTTAGATTTAAAATTAGTTAACAAAAAGTGTTAAAAATTAAAAAAAAATCTCCAAGAGGATCCAGGGTACATTAGAGAGGGCCTGTTGCACTGGGCATCTAGGGGTGTGCAGGGGTTTGGACATGTGAAGGAAGTATAGGGCCTTGTATCATTTTTTTTTTTTGCCTGATGTGCTAATGAGTGAGCGGTGCAGTTCTGGCTTCTTGGCATTTTAAATATCCTGTAATCCACTGCTGTGTTGAGAGATTTGAAATCTTCTATCAGAGGTACTAATCTCCAATGTGATATTATTGTGACCTGACTTTGAATTGAGGAATGAGGAGAGTGACCAGGTTTTGGTTATCTGAGGAGTACTTGATGACAGTGTAATGTAGAATTTTTGCAAATCTTTTTGCCGCCAAGGTAAGGCCATTGCCTATGCTATGAGAACAGAGGTAGAGTTTAAAACCCGCGAAATCTCTAAAAACGATTCATGCACCAAACCAGGGCTTCTCATTGGGCCACGTCGTCTGAACCGTCAGATCTCAAACCAACGGCATCAGGCACTTCAACATGGTTTGACTAAAGGCTGGTTCCAAAACCTTGGCGAAGTCTCGGGGAGTCCTGGCTGCTGCCGCCGCCGAACCGTGCGGGCGCAACCGGCGGCGCCCGTGGTCACACGGGCACGAGCCGCCTCCGCTGGAGCTGAGGCGCGGCACGGGTGCGCCCGGGCCCGGGCCCGGGGTAGGCTCCAACGCCGCCGCATTGCCGCTGGTCACTCTTCCCCTGGCCGGAATCAGTAGTGCCGATCGCGTGCTCTGCTCTGCTCCCGTGGGGAATAATAAGGGGGTGAACCTCGTAGGAGCGAGGGGCGCTCGAGGTTGCGGCGCGGCGAAGCACGGGCCGCTCGCATGGCCGGTGGGGCAGGTCCGCGGGGCTTCGCAGCGTAGCCACAATGACCGGCGGCGGTGCAGTGAGCTACGGCACGGCGGCACAGCCCTCCGTTGTGTGCCCGAGACCACCTCGACCCTTCAATTATGGCCAACGGAAAATGATTAGGCTGTACCCAAAATCCAACCGCCGCCACCATGTGCTTCTCGCCCGGTGCCGGGCACAGCACGACTGAGCCACGGCTACCGCGTACTCTACTGTGTTGCTAGCTTGATGATGATGTCACCGAATTTTTTATTTTTTAGCCTTTTTTGAAAAATTTTCATAAATATGTCCCTAAAGGTATGATTTTAAAATCTGGACCCTTAGCTCGACGCCAGTGTTGCTTACACTGCTCGACGCCATCGTTGCTGACGCCGAGGTCTTGGGCTCGACACAGACATGACGATAACTTGGCACACAGCTCGGCACCATAGATCATAGCGTGAAGCTTGACGCCGTAGATCTGGCGCCGTATATCTTAACGTGGAGCTTGACGTCATGACCTAGGACACCGAGGTGGCGTTTTAACCCCGGGCCTGTGTGTGGACCTCACATGCCAATATAACACAGGCAAGGCAGCAACCGTTTAGAGCAGACCGGCCCATAGTAAAGTCTGCGATTGATGACTGATGAGAACAAGAAGTCACCATCCATCTGCTCGGCATACACACGTCGGACGTCGCAGCTACCGCAGGGTCACGTTCACGTCGTACTCCATGCAACTAGGCTGTGGCAGCTGTGGCCTGTGGGCTAGCTAGGACAATGATGCCATACTGTATGCACAATGTATAAAGCTGTGTGTGACAATACAGATTACGTAGATGCAAGCAGGAGCGTATTCCGTATCCGTGCCAGATGAGATTGGTGGGATATTAAGGCAGAGTCACATCATATCTTCCACAAATGACACATGTAAGAAAATCTCTTTTAGATGATTTTAGTAGTGCTTGTAGCCCTGTGACTATTTACTCCCCACCATCATGACTCGTGGTGAGTTCATGGCTGCTGCAGTCGGCGCGCGCGGTTACGAGGCTAGTGCACAGCTAGCATGACCTCGTGGTGATGATGACCATTTCTAGGAGCCGTGCCAACGGGTGCCAGGGATTGCCAAGTCAATGCCATCCTGCCACAGCCAGGACGGGATGGAACCCAAGCCGTGACGACGGGACAGGACGGGTGGGTTGGGCTTTTCTTCATAACAAATTAACTTTCTTACTATTCCTAGGGCGCTCTACCGCGGCGCGGCGGCGGTGCGCGGGTTCGGGCGGGCGCTCGTGGTGCGAGAGAGAGGGAGGGAAAGGAAAGAGGGCCCATACGGCCTGTCGTCAGTAATAACGACGTCGAGCTTGACGTCAAGGTTTACGGCGTCAAGCTTGGCTTTAAGATATACGACGTCGAGCTGCCTGTTATGTTATCATCACGTCTGCGTCGAGCTCTAAGAGCTCTAGCGCTGAGCTAAGGGTCCAGATTTTGAAATCTTACGAGCCAGAGACATATTTGTGATTTTTTATAAAAAAGGCTAAAAATAAAAATTCGGATGATGTCACCATGACATCGTGACATGTCATATACTCCGACCATGACATCGTGACATGTCATATACTCTGTTTTTCCTTTGGAAAAAAACCCTATGTCAATTTCCATTGCTTCAATTTCAGTACTGCTTATTTCAACAAAAAATTACTGTGTATTTTCAGGAACCATTACGAAGAACTGATCCCAAATAAGTAAAGACTAGGAGTAAAAAAAAAGGTAGGTAATACCAACTAACCAATATTCACCCTGTTCACAGATGCTGAAATTTGGTTTATGCTGATGCTTATGCTGAAATATTGTGAGAGAAAAATAATGTTATATGACTGAAAAGTAGTTTTGAATAAGCTGAAGGGGATTGTTTACCAATTCATATTACCAATTTATCATAAGCATTGAATGTCTATTTCTAATCCTAGTATTTGCTTACAGTTATGGACACGACTTTTGTTAACAGACGCTCTTACTAGGTAACTTTTGCTCCAAAACACAGCTTCTGACAGCCTAGAATTTTTTGGCAACATAGAACAACCTAGATGATCCGATGACAGGTTATAAGATACTGCACCAACCTTTTGAGAAAGATTTTGTTAACTGCCTCTGCTCAGGCGTACTATATTAGTATGATCTGTTAAGAATTTCTCACCGCCCACAATGTCACCATAGTTCTTCAGTTAAGGAACTAAACTTTAGCTGCTACATTACTTGTTGCTGAAGATTACCAAACTCCAATGATACTTGTTTGTGTATCTGAGCAAGTCTTTGTATAGCAGTATACACTTTATCAACAGAGAAAAGATCAACAAAGAAAAGGCGAGCACTCAATTTTTCCAACCACGGCGTTCGCCATGTATCTGCAATAAATAAATACTTATCCTACTACACTTGTTAAAACGATTCGAATGGAAAAAAGGCCCATCAACACTGCAAGCAGCTCACACACTGGCCATACGCGGGAAGGCCGTGAGTATTTCTAGTGAAACTCGAAATAGCCTAGTGAAACTCGAAATAGCCTAATACCAGCGCCGTAGCATGGGCTGCATCAGCCCACACAAACAATCTCTTAGAGGCATGGGCCTAACCCACACGGCGGTTAGCCCACTGTCCTAAGTCGGTAAGTCAGGAAAAGAACTCGAAGCCACATCAGGCTACAGCCCAACACATCCTGGCTCCCACCATCCTCTCTTGTTCATTCCCTTTCCTCCTGTTCGTCGTCTCCGCAGACTCCGCGGTCGTCCGAGCAGACCCCCGGTGAAGCCTAGGGTTTAGCGGCTACACCTCTCCTCCCGCCGGTCGTCGACCACCGTTTCCTGCCGATGGACGTCGACTCGGAGCCGGCCGCCTCGAGCAAGCCCACGCAGATGGACCTCGAGGACCAGGCACGCCGCCGCCGCCACCCTCCCCTTTCGGATTTTTTTCTTTCCTCAAATTTGGGTTTAGGGTCATGGTAGTGACTGTTCTGCGCCCTTGCTGTGGAGCATGTGCAGACGGACACGAAGGGGAAGGGGAAGGCAGAGGAGGGGAGCGGGAAGGGCGAGGAGCTCGCGGACTCCATCAGTAGCCTCTCTATCGGCCCGGGGCGCACCAATTTCAAGAAGAAGCCTGTGATCATCATCGTCATCGGCATGGCCGGTGCGTCGATTTCGCTTGCCCGCTGTTTAATTACATTCAGTGGCATGGATCTCCCAATCGACCTGGGAGCTGACAGTTTTGTTCTGTCCCCTTGTTCAGGGACGGGGAAGACGACGTTGATGCACCGGCTGGTATGCGATACGCAGGGATCAAATAAGAGGGGCTATGTCGTCAACCTCGACCCTGCGGTGATGACCCTGCCATTCGGGGCAAACATTGATATTCGTGACACTGTGCGGTATAAGGATGTGATGAAGGAGTACAGCCTTGGTCCCAATGGTGGCATCCTCACCTCGCTTAACTTGTTTGCCACTAAGTTCGACGAGGTTGATTGCTATAATCTCTTCCATCACTCCTGTCGTTTTGATAGCATTTCATAGTACTGCTGGCCTGTTAGTCTGTTTATTAGTTCTATCTGTTATCTCTCCGGTTCTAAGTTCACAAGTTACTTGTACCCCATTCGTCTTCAGGTATGCTTGTTGTTTAGCACTTGTGCTTGCCTGTCTTTGTTCGATTGAACTATATTTCCAGTCAAATCTAATGGAAAAGCGGTCATCTGGTTTGAAATTTTGAACAACTAGTTAGGTGAAAAATAGTGTGTAATTCAAACATGGTGACCATTGCGAACAGTTTTTGTCTGTGTCCTATGAGTTGAATAATAATTTGTTAGTCCTGCGGCTTAGCAAAATAGTATTTAGAATTTTAGATAGCTTTAGAGCTGCACTTCTACACAGGGCTAATATTTCAATTTGCTGATCCAATGTGTCAACAGTAGTAACAAGAATGTTGTGCACTGTTAAGATTCTACTAACATAACAGGATTTGGGATCAAAGACAGAGAACTGATGTGCTTTGTGAATGATGACTTTGGTTAAATGTGCTAATAAAACACTCTGGATGTCATGTCAACTCTTACCATTCCATGCAAACTCCCATAGAAATTGTGCTCAATTCAATCCACATAGGAGCACCGGGGGATTTATCTGATGCCACACTGAATAATTTAACTTTGCTGCAAAATTATACTGTACTTATTATGGTGGTATATGGGAAATGCACATTCCTGTTACCTTTATTTTCTTCAGCTAATATGGCATTTAATATTCATTCTTAGGTTGTGTCTGTCATTGAAAGGCGTGCGGACCAATTGGATTATGTACTTGTGGACACTCCTGGTCAGATTGAGATCTTCACTTGGTCAGCTTCAGGAGCTATCATTACTGAAGCTTTTGCATCGACGTTTCCAACAGTTGTAGCATATGTTGTTGACACTCCCAGATCAACAAACCCTGTTACTTTTATGAGCAACATGCTCTATGCCTGCAGTATTCTCTACAAAACTCGCCTCCCTCTAGTCCTGACATTCAACAAGGTTGATGTTGCCAAGCATGAGTTCGCTATCGAAGTATGTATACCATTTATGACAGTATTGTTTACTTTGTTGTTGATTCTATCACATTTGCACCTGCCATACATTCACATCTTCCCAAAGTTACAATTTGCATGTCATGCAGAATTTTCTTACTGTGAAATATGTATAGGTTCAATCTGCCGAGGTTGTGTCTGTGACCTTAAGCTTTGTTCAAAGTGTTAATTGCCTTATTAGCCAGTTTGTGCTTATATTGTACTGTACATTCAACCAGTTTGACTTTTCACTATCAGGCACTGACATCCTGTTTCATTGCTGACCAGTGGATGCAAGACTTTGAGGCGTTTCAGACAGCTTTGGAATCCGACAAATCGTACTCCGCTACATATACACGAAGCCTCTCTCTGGTTCTTGACGAATTCTACAAGAATTTGCGCTCTGTTGGAGTATCTGCGATTTCTGGTGCTGGAGTCAATACATTTTTTGAAGCTATAGAAGCAAGCGCCAAGGAATACATGGAAACCTACAGGTCTTGTCTCCTCAGATGAACAGTTAGAACTTAGAAGACTGATCTTCCTGTCTATGACCTTGTGTTACTAATTGGTATTTGACATGTTTCAGGGCTGATCTTGACAAGAGGATTGCTGAAAAGGAAAGATTGGAGGAAGAACGCAGGAAGGAGAATATGGAAAAATTGCAGAAAGATATGATGAAATCCAAAGGACAAACTGTGGTTCTCAGCACTGGTTTGAAGGACAAAAATTATGTTTCAGACATGATGGATGATGCCGATGAGGAGGAAGAAGAGGAAGCATTGGAAGATTTTGGGTTTTCTGAGGATGATGAAGATGAAGATGAAGGAGAAGACGAGGAAGTGGCTCATTTTGGTTTTTGAGGTACTGTAGTATTGCTCCATTTAAATTTGTAATGTAGTCAGTTGTTTTGGAATCTGAGGAAGTTGTTAATAATGCTCACACACTAGTTTGCATTGGATGTGAATATGTGTTTCTGGCACTAATGCTAACCAACGTATATCTGCAGTTGTTACTTGACCTAGAGGCATATTATATGTTGCATTAGCAACACTGACCTATCATATTATAGGTTGTTTTAGTTTTGTCCAAAGTCAAAACTAGTCTAAGTTTGTTCAAGTTCAATGGAGAATGGATCAACATCTAGCACATTAAATTAGTTTCATAAGTCAACCTTGAAATATGTATTGATAATACATTTTTTGATATTGTAATTGTTGATATATCTGTCTACAAATTTGGTTAAAGTTAGAAAAAAAATACTTAAAGAAAAACTTAAACAGACTATAATTTGGAACAGAGGGAGTACCATACATCTGAACTTACTTTAAATAGACCCCACAATGCATTGCTATTCTAATACCAAGATGAGATGGTATCGATTGTTACACTATTGTTTGATTCTTCAATTCGGATCTGATGTTATTAAGCTTTGTCTTGGCAGGGGATCCAATAGTAACTTTGGTGTGCCTTACGGAGAATCCAAATGGTTGTCTACGGTTTAACTGAAGTGGAATGAAAAACTGTCAATATCAGTAGGTTGTTGACTTTGTTATTAGTCTACTCGTTTAAATTCTGATGTCCTGCTGCTGGCAGTTTATGCCATATTTTTGGAACCTCACGTTGAAGTTTATCCCGTCGCTGAGCCGAACTAATCGAGGTGCAAGGATAGATGGGTTCAGTTTTGTTGACTTGTGTAATCGGTTGCGCCGTAACTCGTACGTAATCCTTCGCTTCGCCTTCTTGGCTGGCGTTCCAGCAGACGTCTTGGCTGATGAACTCGGGATACAGAAAGGAAAGAGTCGTGAGGATCCAGAAGTGAAGCTAGAGCAGATCTGAGGGGGTTGCCCTTGCCTTGTGGGTGCAAGGATATATAATATGATGGTACAAATATGGTAAAAAAATGATCATATCTACCCTTTTTCTATTTTTGTATGGGTGTGGCTGCACCCACAGTGATGAGTATAGCTCAGCCTCTGATTCTGAGTGTGGCAGAAATTTTAGAGTGCGAATAATACTAATGATTGCATTTAAAAACCACGCACACGACGAACACACGAGGAATAAACAGTGTTTTTCTATCACAACAAATCAACATAAGCTAAATTTCAGTCAAATGAACAGGGCCAAAGAATATACCATGTTTTGCAGCAAGCGTATATGTTTGATACAAAGTTTGTGCTGGAGAGAAGTGTAAAATACGTATTGGGTAGTAGGAAGCAAAACTAAAGCTACAAATCCCAGCTTTACAAGCGAAAAAAATACAGTCCATAACAATGCACAAAAAAAAACAGTCCAAACAATGCAGTGTTTTCTCTCACACCAAAGTTTCAAAGATAAATAACTAGCTATATCATTTATATCATTTAATTGTTATAAGATGCTATAGTCGTCATCAAATATATAGCCTTGCAATTGCAAACAGTTATTTGCTCATCTCGCACAGATCTTTGAAAGCACGCGAGAATGAAAACAAATCACTTTTATTGGAAGTTGCATTGTGTTCATAAACATGATGGATGTGTTTCATTCTAATAAAACTCTCTCTCTCTCTCTCTCTCTCTTCTCATAAATATCATGCCGGCTAAGCAAATTTGTTGATACGTCAAAACTTTAAATGAGAATAAAACTCTAATTAAGACTGGTCTTAGACCCTGATTGTTTGTCTGTAGGTTGTTGATCAGCTTGCACATTGTTACAATATGCACTTGGACCCTGCTACTTTGTTTGAACATCACGGATCACATTGCAGGCTGTTACAATATGTAAGCTAGCGGGGAAGTAGATCATTGTTGGCTGTTAAGATCTGGTTATAATTTGGAACTTATTTGTTTCAGTTGTAGTATAATAACATGCAAGCTATACAAACAAGGTCTTAGAGCATTTCCAATAGTTGCAATATTTTGTTACAAAACCATCTCTAGTGCCCCCGCCCCGTCCCATGCCCTCATTAAAAAAATGCATCAAAATATGCACGGAAAATCCACAAAAATATGGATGGGTATATGATGCAAATGTCTATGCTTATGTAAAATTTGAGATGCAACATAAATCTATGCAAAGAGATAAAAAAGTGAAATCATAACTCCAAATGAGATTCCAAGTAGTAATTAAGAACCGTGTTTTAGCTAGAGTTTCTAATACTGCTACTTTCTGTTAGTTTTCACCTTGAAGATACATTATTATGGGGTATAGTAAACAATATTAGTTCTATTGCCATTTTTTAAAACAATAGATGGAGGAGGATCCTTTTAATAAAGTTAATTGGGATAGAAATTTTGACTTGTGTGATTAAGATGAAAGTTATGTTCGAACCGAAGCATCTTTATTGGATCATGTACTGTTTTTATGCTACATGCTTCGTTATTTTTAGATGATGTATTAATTGTATTTTTCATTTTTAAGTTCAAGCAACGACAAACAACACTCTAAACTAAATAAAAGAACTGAATATAAACTTAGGCAAGTCCGGGGTACTCTAGACATTGCATAGCAAATGATAACAATCCCACCATCCCAATCCACGATGCCAAACAACAATAGCTTTTTACAATCCAAAGTATTATAACATCTCCAAGAGTCTTTCTTAATCCACTCACTAAATCATTGTTTAGATATCATTTGAATAAAAATCGCTCTCTATATCTTTCTACCCTCTAATAGCCTTTTTATATCTTATGTGCACTCTAGAAAGCCAGTCCCGCTTTTCACCTTTCACTAGCTAGAAATATAGAATAGAGGATAACATTATTTGCAGATCTAATTAAAGAAGTTATTGGAAGATATCTTTTTACCAAAATCTATATTCCTTTATATATTATTTAAGATAAGAAATAAGAAAGAAATAAACAGACTCGAGTTGCTCTTACAATCCAAGTTTTTTACAATCCACAATCTGCTTTTCACAATCTCTAGTGGAAATAAACAGGCCCATGCCACCTGAACGAAGAAAGAGAATGAAAGCCCACTCAACCGCGAGTCCAGCCCAGACGACCACACCAACTGTCCCCAATCCAGCAGCCCTCGAGTCTCGTCCCCGCACCTCATCAGAGAGACGCCACTACCACCACCACCGCAAACGACGACGGCGAGATGTTCCTGCGGCGGATCCTGACCGGCGGGGGCGGCCTGGCGGCGCTGAGGGCGGCGCGCGCCGTGAAGGAGACGACGGGGATCGTGGGCCTTGAGGTGGTGCCCAACGCGCGGGAGGTTCTCATCGGGCTCTACACGCGCACGCTCAAGGAGATCGAGGCCGTCCCCAAAGACGAGGGCTACCGCAAGGCCGTTGAGTCCTTCACCAATCACCGCCTCCAGATCTGCCAGGAGGAGGACGACTGGAAGCGCATCGAGGACCGGATCGGATGCGGGCAGGTCGAGGAGCTCATCGAGGAGGCCGAGGACGAGCTCAAGCTCATCGCCAAAATGATTGGTATGTGATTCTTGGCTACCTTCTCGTCACCCTCTTTGTCTGTACAGTTTATTCCATTTTTATGGTTTTCTGATCCCTAGGCAGTAGTTAGTGTGATTGATATATTGATGTGTAAGTTTTATGTGATAGGTGGCTTCGCTGATTTGGGGATATTGATAATACAATACACGTAATAGGTTAGGTCATGTAGGACAAATGCTATCGTTTGATAATTGTTTGTGGTAGGATTGGAATTTTTTGGATAGTCTTTGGAATTGTAGATAGATGGGAGGTTGGTGTGAGGTTACCTTATGATCCCTAGAAGGCTAGAACTCTCCCTGATATTGTTCATTAGTCTATGGCTCTGGAAAAATGATAGTGAACTTTTTATGGACTGATCAGCAATTAGCACTTGAAAATACTACTGGAATCTTGTGTGCCTCTGGTCTCATGGTGCATGCTGCATCTGGAAACGGCCACCTATACTGCCTGTTTCCTCCCATTAAGAGCAGTGTATCAGAGTATTAAACTAATGTCGTAGGTTCTGATATATCACACTGTATCCTTTGTACTATACTACTAAATTTATTGTGGAACATTTAACCTCTTATTTTGTGGTAGTTCTGATGAAGGTGACAGTCTTCGATGTTCATATCTTTTGAGAAAAAAATGTTATGGGTTTAGTTAGTCTGTTTGTGTCTCTGAGTTAGCAGAGTACAACTGAAATAAATCCCAATGTTTTATGTGCCCTTTAATCTTATTTCTTATTCTGCTTTTAGCTTTTTAGCATTAGCAAGAATGCAGATCAAGCTGGTAATAGCAATACACTGTGAATACCTTCTGCTTCAACAGTGCGTTCGTATATGCTTTGCCATGCACATGTAGCTGCAGAAGCCAGAACTTTAATTTTATATCCCTTGGTGTATGTTGTTCACTGATGATGTAGTGTTAGTGGACGAAAGCCAGGCAGGAGTAAATAGGAAAGAGTTATGGCGGCAGACCCTTGAGTCTAAAGGTTTTAGATTGAGCAGAACTAAAACCGAATACATGAGATGCGACTTTGGCGGAGCTGCACAGGAGGAGGGAGATGTGAGTTTGGAAGGTCAAGTAGTGCCTAAGAAGGATACCTTTCGGTATCTGGGATCGATGCTATAGAGGGATGGAGATATTGATGCGGACGTTAACCATAGAATCAAAGCAGGGTGAATCAAGTGGCGACAAGCTTCTGACATTCTCTGTCACAAGAGGGTACCACAAAAGCTAAAAGGCAAGTTCTATAGAACGGCGATTAGACTGGCTATGTTGTATGGAGCAGAATGTTGGCCTACAAAGATTCGACATGTTCAACAACTGAGTGTTGCAGAAATGCGTATGTTGCGATGGATTTGCGGTCACACAAGAATGGATCGAGTTTGGAACGATGATATACGTTATCGCCTAGAGGTAGCACCAATTGAAGAAAAGCTTGTCCAACATCGGTTGAGGTGGTTTGGCCATGTTCAAAGGAGACCTCCAGAGGCACCAGTGCATTGTGGAGTCTTAAGCCAAGCTAATAATATGAGGAGAAGTAGAGGAAGACCGAAATTGACATGGGGGGAGGCAATAAAAGTATTTGAAAGCTTGGGATATACCTAGGCATCTATGTTTGAATAGGAGTACTTGGAAAGCAGCTATTGAAGTGCCTGAACCGTGACTTGGGGCTCTTGGTGGGTTTCAACTCTAGCCTACCCCAACTTGCTTGGGATTGAAAAGCTATGTTGTTGTTTTATCGGTGTGATAATTCAAGAACAGACTTTTTAGTTTCAAAAATTCTGTTGAGTGCATGGGTTTGAGGATACCTTCAACTTATCACTTGCAAGTTATTGTTACTATAACGCTGGGTGGCCAACACTTGCACTGGTTTACTTCTCATCTATTCATCTATTCCTTGATTATGAACACGTGTCTGATGCTATATTGCAATAAACTGATGTTCTTGGCTTTCAATTCCAGCATATATGTTTGCATGTATTTGTTGGCTGATGCAAAGTGCTTCGGTTTGTTTTAATGTGATTCTGTGTTTGAATGAATGGCAGAATGGGATCCATGGGGTGTTCCTGATGACTATGAATGTGAGGTGATTGAAGATGACACCCCAATTCCTAAGCATGTTCCTCAGCACCGGCCCGTTGCTCTTCCTGAGGAGTTCTTCAAGACTCTAGATGCCGTCAAATCTGATCCCGCTCTGCAAGGCGATGCTCCTCAAGTGAAGGCATAAAGATGACTCTTCCCCCGGTTATGTCATTTCACATTTTGCTGCGTTGAGTAGGGACTAGTTTCTTGTGTCATTTGCCAGCCATGTGCTTGTTCCGAGCAGAATAAATTTCTGGTGAATACCATCAAAGAGTGAATTTGAACTCAGTGATTCGATACAGTAAATTTGTTGTCCATGAATACTTGATGCGCCCTGAACATCGTTTGTTTTGACATTATAATCTATGTTGACGAAATATTGAATGCTAGTTGGAGTTCGTTGCCTGGTGCGGCCATGGGCCCATGGTGATGGTGGTGTGTGAATCTGGTCTGGCCCCGGCCTAAGGGCAGCCAGCTAGCGTAACCTGGCGCACCACAAAATATTTTGCCCATGGCTAGCGCCTAGCGCCCACCTTCCAGTTTGGGTGCGGGTGGTGATCTGAACTGGATTGCTGGTCGCGCAGCCGGGTCAGGGCGTTTGCTGTAGCTGCGTTCTTCGGTGGCAATTGGCATACTGATGGGATCAGTTGATCAAAGGGGGGAAAAACAGGGGCTATCGGCGGGCGCGCATCATCATGGGATGCAGGCGATGTGCTCTACGACTATTTCGATCTGCCGCGCAGAAGGTGCAGCCTCTAGCATGCCACTACGAGTATTGGTCACCGACAGTGGAACATCAGAACAATGTGCTAAAGCTTCATGTACGAAAATGACCCGTTGTTAATTTCATCTGAGCTGAATGCCTTAAAGCCATTCCGTGAGAGACCGCACACCCAGTCACTCAGTGATGTTTCCCATTGATTAAAACAATCTAGCACTTCGTTTCAGGTGAATGCCTTAAAGCCATTCCGGTAGACCACACCCCCCGTGTTGTTTTCCGCTAACAGCATCTAGCTAGCATAACTGGACTCTTGGATGCCTTTGTACACCAAAATACAAGCAAAACGGCACAATGTATGTTATACCCCGCTATCTTCAGGCTATCAGTTCCATGAACATGCCCCCAAGCCACCCAAACAAAACGTCAGTTCCTCCTCGCAGTTTCCACGCAAAACACCGGCATTTCAGATAAGCACTGTCAGTTCGCAGCAGAGTTGGCCAGATGCATGAGACCGTTGACGATTTCCAGCTTGCTGCCAAACTGCACCTTCTGCTCTGGGTTACCCCAGGGGCAGGGGCAGGGGCAGGGCAGGGCCGGTAGAAGCTGGGCTCCCCGAACCCGAAGTTGTTGTAGCTCGGCAGAGGCTGAGCTAGCGAGGGCTGAGACGGCAGCGGCTGCAGGAGGTTGGTGAGGAAATACGGTGGCAGGCTGTTGCTCGACTGCTGGGACTGGGAGAATGAAGGAGTGCTCAGAGCGGCCTGGTCTTCAGCCTCCGGAGCTGGCTTCTGAATCAGCTTCTTCCCCAGGATGGGGATTTCTCGTTGAGCGATTGCTAGCAGGTTGTACCGGCTGGGCTCGAAGTTGGTCACGGCGTTCTCGCCCCTGAACTTCAGTGCCGCGATGTCGTACGCCTCTGCAGCCTCTTGTTCGGTTGCTGCAAGGAGCAGGGTTTATGTTATTAGTCCAGATGAGTCATGACAAGACCAAATCACTCATAAAAATAAGCCATTGCATTTGCATAATGAAACATGTGCTATTTTCAGGAAAGCTATAAGAGACTATACTATACGTAAGTCCATATAAGGGTACTTCCATGCCATGCTCTGAATAACAAAACAAAGAGGCTAAATTCATTGAGGATCTATGGTATGAGACATCAAAATTACAGGCCCTTACCGAAAGTCCCAAGATACAGATCCTTGTTCCCTGCAACACGGCCGATTCTTGCCTGCCAGCGTCCTTGTTGGTGGTGCCTGACAAAACAAATCAAGTGAAAATAACTGCCAAAAAAGATATCGATCAATGATGGCCTCCTGCAACTGAAACTTACCTTGTTACTCCTCTGTAGATTGATGCTCCTCTAGAAAAGCCACTGCTCTTCCTGAAGATCGACACGTCGAATATGTAAGTACGCATGGAAGCAGCCATGGACATCACGTAGTTGCAGTAGTGTGAAGTTATAAAAATACCTCCTCAGTGAGGCTACAACATCACGCCTGTTCATGTTCTGCATATCCTGAATCTCTCTGATGTAGTTCTCTCTCTGGAAAGAGATGCTCCATTTTCAGTCAATATGTCATGATCAAAGATGTGAGTACATCTATAAAGTTTTGTTTGTGTTATATAATGGAGAAAGAACATATGATATATGTATATGCCCAGTTCACAGCCTGCATATTAAGTTCAAAATGGAACAAGTATTGGTGTAGGAATCTGATTTTGGTAAATTAGATGGTATATAATCATAATGTTGCTAAACAACTGGGTTGATTTTCAGAGTGCAAACAAGAAATTTATGACCTGCAGGCTGAAACAAGAAATTTTACGCTCCTTTTTTGTAAAAGAAAAGGTGAAATGTTGATTGTTTTCAATGCATGCCTGTATATTCTTGACATAGCACCAGGATGCCTTACTATGTGCAATATCTAAACTGAACCATGATGCTTGCTTTGTAATTTATTGATACACTACTCGCCTTCGTGACACAGGAAAAACTGATGTGTTGACTGTTCAGAAATGAAGAGAAGTACAGAACTTACAGGGAAGTTAGTAGTAGCATTATCACCCCAATACTTCAGAGCAGCAATATCGTATGCCCTAGCAGCCTTATCTTCTTTGTCGTAGCCACCTGCACCACAGATATTTTAAGCTTCTACTTAACAATATGCTAAAATGAATACTTTAGAAAACAAAAGATAAGAGGTAACTGTTCATACCCAAATAAACTGCAGAAAATCCGCATATCGTCGGCAGGATAATGGATATAAACAGAGCAGACATGAGAAACCACAGTTAGATAATGAGAACAAAAAGAGAACTGAAAATACAAAGTCAGAAAGTTGAAAAGTATGAACTACTCCCTCTATTCCAATTTATAGGTCACTTTATCTTTTGTCCTAACTTCTAAGTCAGATTTCTTTAATTTGACCAAGTTCTATAGAATAATGCACCAACATCTACAACATCAAGTTAGTTTCATTAAATCCACTAGGAAATTTCTTGATAGTGCATTTATTTGGTATTATAAATGTTAATACATTTTTCTAAAAAATTGGCCAAATTTAGATATGTTTGACTTAGAGCAAAGCTAAAGTAACTATAATTAGAAACTGAGGGAGTAATTCACGATTTTAATTCATATATAGAGCCTTAGCAACTAATTGAGCAAATACTCACACGACCAAATGTTGCCATCCATGAATGCAAACTAGCAAGTTTTTTTTAAAAAAAATACTGTATCAGGTAGTCATAATTAAGAGCAAGAGAACCGTGCAATGTATGTATAGTGCAATGACAAAACCTTTCTTTTTTTTCAATATGGTAATAATAAACAAAAGGTGTGCGCTTGAAATCTAGTCAAAATGGCTTCCAGAACAACTAAGCATGCGTTCAACACTTCAACATCAGCTTAAATTGTATTGTTTGTATCTTATTTCCAAACACAAGTCATGGGAAATGTGTAAAATTTGTGGCAAGCCCACAAGAAGTGCAAAATTTTCAATTGTACGCACTTGTCATCTTGGTAAGCCCACAAGAAGTTTTAACAGCAATTTTTTCAATTGTTTTTTTTCAATTAATGTTCAATCCTTTCAAACGTCGCGATTTTTGTCATAGTTTTGTCATACACACATTTAATGCTCCATGCATCAATTCAAGATTCATGTGCAACCTTTTTGAAAGTGCAGTGCATGCAATTCATTGTGAAGTTATAGCACTAGTTTTGCTGCAGTCAGATTTAGAGCATGCATCATACAAAACTAAATATTTTAATTTCAATAGAGGATTTTTTTTTAAATAATTCTGTAAAGGACCTAGATACCTAGTACCTAGAACATTTATAGATTTGCAGTTCATGATGTTCTAGCTAGGTACATTTGCATGTCTATCATCCAACAAGGGCAAACACTATGGTGATTGGTGAAGATGAACAGTGACACCAGAAAAGAACTGAACAAGAAAAACATGTCACTGCAAGTATTGCTAAACTGTTGACGCTTTAGCTAGCGCTACATAATGTCTAGTAGACACTTCCAAATTCAATTTCAATAAAAAAATGAAAAATAAAAAACTTTCCACGTATGGCAGCTGCAAACGATTGGAAACCTTGTTCGCCACTAGCAGCAGCAGCAGCACAGGCACAAGGCCTCCGTGAACATCAACTGAAAAACACGTCGTCGCTGCTGACGAATATGGGTTGTTGGCACTCCAGCTAGCGTTACAAAAGTGACCAGGCATTTCCATTTTCAAAATTCAAAATCATGTCCACGTAAGACCGGGCCGGCCGAAACAGAACGGGAAACTTGGCGTCGAAGAAAGACGCACGAGCCCGCGGCAAAAAGTGCAAAAAGCAAAAGCTGCATCTCTGACCCCGGCAAGTTGAACTGGCATGTACGTACTCGATCGCCCGCGGCAGGCTGTGATTCCGACGCCAGGAAACCAACATTCCACGATGGACTCACTCATAAACCCCGCGACTAAACTTATTTAACACGACGTTTAGGCACAGGAGAAACAAAACAGGCATGTCTATGTGCCTAACACCACTGCACGGTCAAAAGTCTCAAAAGGGGAGGCCCCGGCTCCGCAGGGAATCCGGGAACTCCTATGCGCGACTGGTGTGGTCTCCTGTGGTCATCATGGCTTTGCGGTCGCAGAGATGCTGGTCACTTCATCCTTTCCTGAGACGGCGGCGTCCCATCGGCGGCGTCCCATCAAAACCCTCTTTAGTCCATGAATTTGTGTACAGAAAAGATCCAAGTGTTTAAATAGAAATCCAAAACGCTCGTCCCGTCCCGGGCTCCCAGCCCGGCCCAGCACATATATGACGCATGAATATTGTGATCACACTTTTGTAATTTTTATGATGAAACTAAACAAGGGCAAAAGATCCAACAAGAGAAATCCCGCTCGTCCCGTCCCGGGCTCCCAGCCCGGCCCAGCACACCTGTGACACACTGCGCCCGCTCTCACCCCGGCCACGCCGCGGTAATCGCCGTCTCAAGCTTTATACTAGTAAGTATAAACACTATCGAGAGAGGATTATTACTTTATTAGATACAGGAATCAGGATTGGTTGACGACGGGGCTAATTACCTTGGCGCCCCTTGCGCTTCTGGCCTTCCTTCCGGCACGTGTTGTCCCACAGGTGCGCCTCGTACCGCCCCGTCCACCTGTGCCTGATGGCCCACACGTGTGCAGCGGTTAGTCACGTGATAGCCGTTAATTACACTCCCTAACCACGCTTACTCTCGCTAAGAACATCTACTACTCCACTTGCGACCGATGCACACGCACGCACGCTGGTACCTGGTCACCCCGCGGTAGATGGAGGTCCTCTGGGCGGTGGTTTGCACGGGCGGCAGCGCCGGGGACGGTGGCGAGGGCGAGAAGTTGGTGGTGCAGTCCTCGGCGACGGCAGTCGTGACCTCCCACGAAACCTGCCCAGGCGCAGGCTGGCCCGCGAGCGAGAAGGATCCGGCGGCGACGGCGGTCGTGACCTCACCACACGCCAGGGCTGCTCCGAGACCCTGGGCGGAGCTACTGCTGCCGCCGCCGCCGTTCGTCCCGGGGCACGAGGGCAGCAGGAGGAGGGTCTGGTCGGCGCCGCCAGCCCCGCCGAAGAGAGCGGCGTCGGCGGCGAGGAAGTCCTCGTCCGTGAAGCCGTCGAAGGGGAGGAGCGGCGGGTTCGTCAGGGCGCCCGCCCCCAGCATCATGGACGACGGCGCGTAGGCGAGCGAGATGGCACCGTTCGTCGGTGGCGACATCGTCTCTCCGTGATCAGCCTCCGCCTCTTCCTCGTCGTCCTGGTTTTTTGTGGGGGTTCTCTCTCTCTCTCTCGGCGGAGAAGAAGAGAAGAGAAACAAACACGGAGAGGGGAAAGAGGGCGGCGGGGCGCACGCCGCACGCGGAAGAAGCGGCGGAGAGCCGGAGAGGCGGGGGAAAGGAGGTGGAGGGGAGGACGGAGGAGCGGATACTTATAGGCGTGGGGTGAAAATGATGGGGCAGGAGGTCAGGCGCTTCTCCTCCGGACTCCGGTCTTCAGGTGTGCGGAACCAGACAAAACAATAGAAGCTGGGGTGGTGGTGGGGTAGGTGCGGGGTGGTCTCCGCCAGCGCTGGGGCCGGGTCTTTCGCATTGCTGTGCTGGGCTGTTTTGGCTGCGGCTGCGCAATCCGGTGAACAGCGCCTCTCCTACGGCGGTTTCGGTTTTAAAATATCTGAAAGGAATTGGCATGGTGAACACAACGAGAAAACAGAAAAAGAGAGGTCGGAAGGTACGCGTGTGCGTGTCACAAGCTGCTCTCTTGATCCCTCCTAGTCACATTTCAAAATCGAAGCTCAACTACAACATCCCAGATACAGGACGCATTCGTTCTTTGAATAGCGCTACAGATAAAATGTTTAATATATATTCAGCATTTTCTCCAATAATAAGATCCAAAAGAGAATCCTTTCTGCAAATGGATTTTCAGGAGAGAGGATATCCATATTTGGGTTGTGCCTCTCAGACAACCCAAAATAGGTCTCCCATATAGATACTCTGTTAGAGGTTTTTTTTTTTTGTCTCTTACTACCTATTTTGAATTTAGATGCCCATATAAGTTTCTTATTAGAGACAGTCTTACGAAAACGTACTAGATCTCCCAAATACTGCTATACATATTGTTTTTGCCTTATTGGTTAAGGGCGTGTTTGGATTGCGGCCGTACCGCTCCGTAGCTCGCCACAGCTCTCACGCCTAAGCTTCAGCAGCCGTTTGGTTCGTTGCCGGACTCACAGTGTGCCACAACGCAGACACGCTCGCCCGTTCATTTGCACGCCACAGGCTGCCAAAAGTCTGGCACCTGAACCGTCGCCGCGTTTTTGGCACGGACACAGCTTAGGCGTGATCAAACACGTCCCAGGTCTAGTGTTTTTCTTGGTCAAACCTTTTCAGGAAAGCCTGTGAGAGAATACCTACGGTAAATTCTAAATTAGATGACATCAAACATACAGCTAAGATCTGATGGCTTTTGCGTACTATACATGTTATTAACTCGCTACCTCCTACCAGTAAGGTTATTGCATTGTTATGGGGGGTATTCATCCCACTACGCGGCTATTTTTCGCCACGGTCATCTAATAAGAATATTTGGCCATGAGCGTAGCAGTTAAGCTACCCAGTAGCAAACTAGTTGTCAAGACTAGAACCAGAGGCAGTGCATGATTTATATTGCAATTACGTACACGTCGCACAAAGCAACTCTATATCTGTTTTGTTATCTTGTTTTAAGTAAGCGTACTTTCTGGTTAATCATCTTATTTTAAGTAAGCGTGTCAAAGTATTTCATTGCATCATCCACCAATTTAAGATACTCTATTACTCTTTTCTTCCAAATTATAAGACGTTTTGACTTTTTTTTAGATATTCATTGTTTTTACTATGTAGACATAGTGTAGACATAGTGTATATGTTAAGTGTATAGCAAAAAGTGTACATCTAAAAAGTCAAAATATCTTATAATTTGAAATGGAATGAGTGTTCAATAATAAAGATTGATATATGCATCAAAAAAAAAGATTGATATATGCTATGTGCATGGACTATAAGTTAGTTCCCACTTCCAGCATGCTAGAACAATCGAGCAATATCACCATTGTAAACAGCTGGTGAGTTTTTACATCATAGCACAATCTTAGCCATTTGATTATGTATCTGGGTTTAGCTAGTGTAGCTTTTTGTTGGGCTACACGCATTGAGAATGTTTGGTTTAGAAACCAATTGATTCTAAACGATGATATGCTGTATCATTAGTTTATTTATTCATCTATTTCTCGTGTTTATATTACAAGCTCGTTTGAAGGGGTTCTTGTCGGCTCTGGCTCCACCACTATAGCGGCACTATAGTTAGGTGGAGCCCAAATCATGACTGCGATGGCTTCTCCAATTTTTTCATTGTTTTCTATAGAGCCGTGTAATTTTTCGCCCGCTATAATAATAATCTACAATGCTACACAATACGCACATGCATGAGTCGAAGCCTCGGGGGCTACCAAACGAGTCCTAATTACCAGCTCATGAGAGATGAGATGATGAAAAATCAAATTATTCTAGTTCTCTTTCCGTCCATAAATAAATCAATTTCTAAAGTTATCTTCAATCATTTTTCTATGTTTGACCAAATTTGCTGAAAAAAAATTACAAAATATTGTGACACCAAATAAGTTATATTGTACAATAATACAGTTTACGGTATGTCTAATAATATCAATTTTTTATGTTGGCGGTTAGGAACTGACCTAGAATCCCTCTATGTAAGAGTGCTTAAAAGTAGATACTATCCAAATTCTTCACTCATGGATTCTAGACCTACTCGCAACTGCTTGTACACCTGGCGCAGTTTGATGTATCACAAGCAACTCTTGGACAATGGTATTATTTGGCAAGTGGGCAAAAGTACCCAGATCCAATCCGGTGATCGTTCACTTAGAAGGAATCCAGCGAACCATCAGCTAGTTCCGCAACTTTCATTATTTGAAAAAAATAATTTCTACAACTTTTCATTTTTAGAAAGTAACTAAGTTATACATATATGTAATGGGACATAACTTATTTGTATAACTTATACCGACAACATAAACAATATAACACTTTGCAAAATTTATCACCATATAACTGGTACTATATAACTTATAACTTATGTCAAAACTTGGAAACACAAAAGTTATGAAACATATTTTTTTTATTTTTCTTTTTTTTCTCTTTTTACTTTTTATAATAGTCTATCAAATTTACTCTTATGTATGCTATCAACATATCTGCTAATACGTTATGATATTAATTTGTACATCTAACTTGTATAGAATAACTTACATACACAAATTATATAGAATAATTTATGTACAAAAATTGTGTGATAAATTTTTTTTTAGATAAGTTGTGTTTTATAACCTTTTGTGTTTCCAAGTTTGGTTATGAGTTAGTTTGTTACTAGAAAAAAAATCTTTGAAACATATATAAGTGGGGTCTAGTTTTGTCCGTCTCATCGTGTAGAACACATCGGTGCAGATGAAATTAAAAATTGGTACACCGTTCAGAAGTTATAGCATTTTAAAATAAATGTTTTGCTTTTTTAGCTGGTGTCAGTGGTGACGTCAGCGGAGGAGGAGAGTATTGCTGGTGCCTGGTGCGGGCTCACCTGTGATATCCAAATATGAAAAAGGTGGAAATTTTTTTTTTTCTAAAACTGGAAATTTTGGATGTCCAAACATTGTTCGCTGGGATCAGATCTGGGTGAACGTTCGGTTAGAGCAGTTCCAACCAAAGAAACTAGTTTTTTTATAATATAGGATACCGTATTAAAAAAGTATTGTTTTTCAATTTATAGTTTCTATGAGTAATAATTATTTTCTTTTTCTCTCTTCCAACTCTATCTTCTTCCTTCAATAGGAGTGCGACACGAGCTTCCCTAGAAACTGGTGGTTTCTCCCCAACGACGATTTCATGGTTTCTTGGTGCATTGGGTCAAGAGTAGACCTGATTTCTTCATGAGGAAACCATTTCTATGATTTTTGCTCTCTTTCTTCATTAATTATATTGCCATATCAGTGTTTTCCCTACGTGGCAAGTCATTTAATGAGGATAGAAACTATCATCAATACACCATTGGGACTGTCCTTAATCTGCCTGACAAAAGTATCACTTTGTCTCGGGATCGATGGGGGTGTTGGGTCATCTCATTTCCAAATACGACCAATAGCACAACTATAAGGTGACCTTAAGTTGAGCTTTCTAATAAATACAACTTCATGTAGTTGAAATGAGGAGCTTGTAAGGGCTTGCTTCAGCAATGCAGGTGCAGAACTTATCTTCAAAATCTCTCTAAGGGCTTGATTGGTTTCCATAAGTCAGGTGACTTATTAAGTCAGGTGACTGAAAACCAGTGATTTATAAGTCATGCTTGTTTGGTTGTAGATGACTTATAAGCTTATTAAAGGTGTGGGCCCACGCGAAAAAGGGTGACTTATAAGTTTTAAGCAGGGGTGAACCAACTTAAAACTTATAAGCAGGGGTGACTTATAAGTTGGTAGTGTTTAGCAAAATAAATCACTTTTTTTACTTTTTAACTTATAAGTATGTGACTTATTTGAAACCAAACATGCCCTAAGTTTGAATGAAACTCTGGATTTTATGTCTTGGGCCCATACAAGATCAGGAATCTTCACATTGAAGTCATCATATGTTAGTCCTTTTACCTGACTGAAAGTGCTAACGGGAAAGATACAACTCGTGATGGGTCATGGGTTTGTTATCGGGCATATTTTATGTTCATGGGTATGGGTTTGGGTTGGCAAGACCCAACGGGTTTGTGGCTGTTGCCATCTTTATACGTGCTTGCTTTGGTCCCACCAAACGAACGCCTGTGGTCCAAAGCCGTCCCAGAAAAAAAAACAAACGCGCCGCCAGATCTCCAATGGCTCTCTCAAGTCTTGAGCGAGTACAACTACAGTCTACAGCGACCAAATCGGAAGAAGCTCCCATCAAACGGGCATGTTTGGTTTCTACGTGAGCTTAAAAATTTTTGTCACATCGAATATATGATATATGTATGAAGTATTAAATATAGATTAATTATAAAACTAATTATATAACTTGTGACTAATTTGCGAGACGAATCCTTTAAAGCCTAATTAGTCCATGATTTGACAACGTGATGCTACAGTAAATACATGCTAATGACGGATTAATTAGGCTTAAAAAATTTATTTCGCAAATTAGCCTTCAT